CAACTACTAAAATCGCTCTACGGAATCAAACAAGCCCCGCGGCTGTGGCAACACCACCTACACACTCGCCTCACTCGCATAGGATTCCGCCAACTGCCTCACGACCAAGGGATGTATCGACTCACCAAAGACGCAGATTCTATCCTGCTGATCGTCTACGTCGACGACCTACTCTACATTGGCTCCACCGACGACATCACCACCTGGTTCGAAGGGGAGCTGCAGGAGGACCTCACGCTCACAGTTTCCTCTACCGTCACTCAGTATCTCGGACTCAACATCCGCGAAGAAGAGAATACGATCTACCTCAGCGCCGAGAAATATGCTGATACTATCGCCAAGCGCTTCTCGCTCAGACCTACCACTATCTCCACGCCATATCGCTACACCGCCATATCACCATAGGACAATCACCGCGAATCCACGCCCAACTACGGCCGTCGCTACTAAAGCGGCAAATCTTCGTTTCGTCACTAAATATCACCCGTTTCCAGTCATCAACCGTCCAATGTTGATGGTCCCTGGCCCACTGCCGCCGGTCCTTAACGTTTTTTTCGGATAAACGAGGCTTCGAGGGCTTCTCTATCGCCTTAACGCTATGCCGCTTGAGAGTGTTTCGAACGGTCGCGCCAGTGACGCTAATGCCGTGAGTCAAAGCTAGCATTTCCGCGGCCGCCTCGGCGGATTTCGACTCGCCACAAACTATCGATCTAACAACTATCCGCTCGATTTTCTCTGGCAGCTTGCGCGGACGACCTGGTTTCACTGGGGAAGGTACTAATTCCTCGTATGTATTCTTGTTGAGGTGACGTAGGAGCTCGTCGTGGACGGCGGATTTCGATACGCCTAACTCTTTCGCGATACTACGAAAGCTTCGCCCCTCTGCAATACGCGTCATGATCTGCCTCTGTTTCTCGACACTAAGGCGCCTCATGCTGCGGGGGTCGTTTCGCTACACGTGGGGCGTCGACAGAGGTCGAGATGTGCTAAAAATCTAACTAGAGAAGAACTAACTACTAACGAAATGACGCTCGGGGGGGTTTGGAAGAAACTGTCCGTGTGGGGTGTCGAGAGGGAAATTGCACTGCAAAGAGATATCGCGGGACTGGGGGCTAGTGGTCACCAACACAAACTGGTAACACCGTGACGCGATACATGCACGGAAAAGAAACACAAAAGCACTCAACTATATTAGTGAAAAGCGTCGTTTAACGTAGATTACGAAAACATAAGGACGATTTTTTTGTTCAGTGTACGTCGATGCCGACCATGCCGGCGATTTAGATAACAGGCGTTCCCGTACTGGCTACATCTATCGTCTCGAACCTATCGGACCCATCTCCTGGCAGTCGAGCAAGCAGGAACTAATCGCTCTCTCTTACATCCATTCAATTACATCCATTCGTATTCCTTGTACTCTTATATAAACCTTTGTATTTGCTTGTTTTAATCAACTTACTTTGCCCTCACACACTAGCACAAGGTGGTTCAAGGACTTTTACCGTATCACCCCGGATATACTGTAAGCGCCATGGCGCTTATAATAAAATCGATTTTTTTAAGGGTGGCGCTTGTAATTGAATAATGGCCATAAGCGCCAGCGCTTATATAATGGTAAAAATGAATTTGCATAATTTAGGCATCAAATCGAAGCCCGTATTAAGGCGAACAAGACTGTGTAACGTGCGCATGGCATCATGCATGGAAACACGCCGAAAACAGACGCGCTTCGGTTTCCAACCGCACAAAGCCCGTCCAGGAGCAGCTCACCTGCCAGCGCTGATGCGAAACTTGCCTAGCGGCCCAATCAGGCTTTCGTGTGCTGGGTGGCAGCAGAATCCTCACCCGAACCATCTAGAAGCGGCCATCATGCCCTGCCAGTGCAGCATCGTGCGTGGCGCTAAACCCTTCTCTCCGGGTTCAGACAGGGGACACCCGTCTCTCCTCGACGAGGACCCCGTGGCGCTGGCCAGAAGGGGTCCCTTTGAATCCTTCATTTGTTCATTGCTTCTTTCAGTTTTTCATTCTTGGTTCTTGATCTCTCCCGCCATGATGCGGAAGCTACGGCGGAATTCACCGGGGTTCACTTCTTGTTCAAGAAGAAGCCTCCACGGAGGCCTGCGTTTAGAGTAGACGAAGACGGGTGGTACTCCCGCGTCCCACCATCTCCACCTAAGCCACCACAGCCTCCTGCGCCTCCTGCTCCTCCTTCGCCTCCTGCACCTCCTGAGCCTCCTGTTCCTCCGACTCCTCCGTGCTCGCATAGTGCTGCGCCTCCGCTACACGCTGGATCAACGCCCGTGCTGACGCTGCTGCTCCCATCGTCGTTTGACGAGTACCTCTCCGAACCCGAGTCTAAGAAGCCGCAAGATGAGTGGGTGGAAGTGGAGCACGTTCCTGGTTCACGGTGGGGACAGCCTGACGACTGCCCGTGGGACGAATCGCAAGTCGGCGCCGACGATGATGTTGAAGCCGAAGCTGACGCTGACGAAGAGGAAGCGAGCGGCACTGTCGGCGGCGAGTATGGCACGGAAGCGAGCGGCGGGGGCGGCGCCGAGGGCGGCTCCGCTGAAGATGTTTTTCCCGAAGGCGTTCCCGGCGACGATGCCGATGACGGCGTGGAGTACTGGTCACGCGACGGGCTTCCCGAGACCCTGCCGATACCTTCCTATCCCCCGATGAATCGCAAGCGACCCCACCCCTCTTCCCAGAACCGTGATGCCCGCCCCCCCTCTCCCAGGCACAAGCTCACTGAGCACAAGAGGCAAGGTTACACCGCCGCGGAGAAGTTGAAGTGGGTTGCCAGGCTTGCTGTGGCAACGTCGGTGCGCGCTTTGGCTCGCGAGAGCGGAATCCACCCCAAGTGCCTCACGAACTGGAAGCGGGCGGCGGAGTTCCTCAAAGACGTGCACTCCGCTCGGAAACGCATGCACGGCCGCGGTCGGGCGTCGTGGTATCGGCCTATGGAGTTGAAAGTGTACGAGAAGCTTCTCGAGTGGCGCCGCAAGGGAACCGCCGTATCAGTCGGCCGCCTGCAGGAGTGGTCGCAGGAATACATGAAGCTGCTGTACCCGGACAAGCCCTGGAAAGGGAGCCAGAGGTGGTCGGAGCGCTTTCGGCGACGATGGAACCTGAGTGTCCGCATGAAGACCCGGGTTGCCCAGAAAACCCAGTCGCGTAAGAGTTACCCCATGTACTTTGCCGTGTTAATGTTTACTTGTTTTATCGGTACTAACACCCGCCATCTGTGACCGTCCTGCCTTCCACCTCCCTTCAGATGTCGCGGAGCAGTGCAGAAGCTTCTGGAAGTTCGTGCATGGCATGCGTCGTGAGCGCGGCATCGACACCGCGTGGATCATCAACGCGGACCAGACGCCGCTCTGGCTGGAGATGCCCGCCACCACCACCGTGGATGAATCGGGTGTTCGCTCGGTGCCTATCAGGAGCGCGGGGTATCAGAAGCAGCGTGTGACGGTGATGTTGGCGTGTACGGCGGACGGACGGAAGCTGAAGCCGTGGGTGTACTTCAAGCGCAAGACCGTGCCAAAGGGCAATTTCCCACCCGGTACGTCAATTGGTGCACTGCTCGTTAACTCCGGTTTGTTCAGACTGCGAATTCTAACTGCTTCTCTTGTTTCCTGCAGATGTGGTCGTGGCTGCACACGAGAACGGGTGGATGGACTCCGCGGGTGTCGTCCGCTGGCTTGAGGAGGGCGTCAAGCCCTTCTTGAAGCCCAGGTTCGGTAGATGCGCCAAGAGCTCGATGCTGGTGCTCGACTCTTACCGCGGTCACCTCACCCAGGAAGTGAAGGACAAGCTTCGCGAGATGAACTGCGTGCCGGCAATCATCCCGTCGGGCTGTACGGCGGAGGTTCAGCCCCTGGATGTCTCCATTAACAAGAGCTTCAAAGCGTCGGTCCGCCAGCAGTACCAGCGGTGGTTTGAGGCAGAAGGGCAAGAGCAGCTGACGACAGCAGGTATGGAATGAGCGCGTTGTTGTGTTTCAACCCCCCTTCCTTTTGCTTACCGTATGTATTGTTGGATTAACGGGATTCCATCGTTCTCCCGTTATTTTCGGGGAACTTGAAGAAGCCTCCTCCGGAGGTCGTCCTGAGGTGGATATCTCAGGCCTGGAAGTCAGTGCCTGCCGAGCTGATAAAGCGTGCCTTCCTCACCTGTGGCATCAGCAACGCGCTCGACGGCAGTGAGGACGGCCTCGCCATGGCGCACAGGCGGAGCCAGCTGACGGCGGAAGTGGACGTCGACGATGACATCATCGCTGATGGGTTTTTTGGCAACAACTGCCAGGAGCCCGAATCTGACGAAGACTAGACTAGTTAGCTAGAATTAGTGTTGCTAGACCTGCTGTTTCAGGTCTCTGATGTTGTAGCTGCTGTCATGATATTGTTATGAATGTGATTTCAATGTAAAACCAGCTACCGTATTCTCCCGGATAAAACACCCTAGGGTATTATGAAAACCACCGGAAAAAAATGGGGGGGGTCTCCTCAACGGAAAATCCTGTATAATACCCGGGTCTTATTATATTATATATTTTTTATGAAGCAGAAATGATGTGAAACAAAATGTGGGGTGTCACTTCACTTCTAGATTGTTGATCAGTACCGCAAAACCGAGTATACGAGGATTACATGACCGCCCACTGGAATCTGCCACATGGCAAATTTCAGCGGGCAACTCTGGCACCTGATAGGGTAAAAACATTGCCAGCCTTGCGTAGCGAGAGTTCATGCAACCGCCGAGGCCGGAATCGCACATGGTGTAGCGTTGCCCTCGCAGCAGTCACGTCTTGACTGGTTTGGGCACGTCCCTATGCCTTAAAAGTTCTCTCACCTTCTCTTTGTGCAGCGGTTCCAGTGCACGATACTGAAGAGTGCTCGGCAGGCTGTGAGAGCGCCATAGTCCTGCACTCAAGCGTCTTTGTTTATACCGTAGCCATTTCTGCCATGGCGAGTGACACTAACCTGCAGTAGACTAGAATGGCTTCCTCACCCGATTCAAGCAGTACGGTAGTTAGGCGGCAGTGGCCTTTTAACTCTCTGTCTGCCGCTGCTGCACGCCCACGGACGTCGCCTCGCCCCGTCTTGCCCCAGCCGTCTCCTCCTGGTAGTGCTTCTACCAGGGATGAACCGAGCAGTAGCTATGAAGCCCCTCGCCCTCCCCTTCCACGAGTGGCTGTCCCCACCTTCCCGGAGAGTAAGCGCCCGCAGGGACAGACGAAACGCAACGCGGATGGTGAGACACCATCCCCTCGCCATCGTATGACGAAGAAGGTGCGTCACGGGATCACTGCGAAGGAAAAGCTGCACTGGCTGAAGATGCAAGACTCTCAGCCCGATCTTGGGAATCGCGCCCTGGCGAAGCTCGCGAAGGTGCAGCCCTGCCAAATCCGCGACTGGAAGAAGCTGAGGGAACGGCTGGAGGTCGCATCTAGCTGCCGCCGTCGCCTCGTGGGTTCCGGCCGCAAGGCGAAGTACCCGTTCATGGAACGGGCGGTCTACCGCCATTTCCTTTCCCACCGGGCGAAGGGCCTCGCCGTCTCGGTTCGCATGCTCCAGCAGTGGAGCTCCAAATACATGAAGCACCGGATGCCGTCGGTCAATTGGCGCGCTTCGTTCCGCTGGGCGACACGTTTCCGCGCGCGCTGGCACTTGGCGAGGCGGGTGAAGACGAAGATGGGGCAGAGGTTGGCCGCCGGTAAGTTACTGTTTAGTATGGTTGTCTTTTTTTCCACGAAGTGATCTAATGCTTGCCGTGGCACTGTCTCCAGACTGCAAGGAGAAGGTGGAGTCGTTCTGGGAGTTTGTGCGCCAGATGCGCACTGTGCACGACCACCCGCTCGACCTCATCCTGAACGCGGACCAGACTGCGCTCTTCCTGGAGATGCCGGCGGAGCGCACGGTTGAAATGAAGGGAGCGCGTACGGTACACGTACGCAGTGCAGGATACGAGAAGGAACGTGTCACTGTCATGCTGGCAGTGACGGCGGGTGGCCTCAAGCTTCCTCCCTACGTCGTGTTCAAGCGAAAGACTGTCCCGAAAGTACCTATTCCTGCCGGTAAGTGTTTACGGTTTGACCCGTGCTCTTGCCTGTCACGTGTCCTGACCCACTATCGCGTTGTGATTGGCAGGCGTGGTGGTCCGTGCACAAGAGAAGGGGTGGATGGACGAATCTCTTGTGCAGGACTGGATCACCCAAGTGCTGGTGCCGTTTCTGAGGCCCCTGCGGGAAAGCTCCGGACGCCGCAAGGAGGCCTTGGTGGTGCTCGACTCCTACCGCGGCCACTTGACGGAGTCCGTTGGTCAGACAATGCGAATGTTCAGGTTGTCAAGGGCAGTCATCCCAGGGGGCTGCACACCGCTTGTGCAGCCCCTGGATGTGTCGGTGAACCGCGCGTTCAAGTGCGGGGTGCGTTCCCGCTACAGCGCATGGTTCGAAGAAGACGGCATCAACCTGACCACTCGCGCAGGTGAGTTCAAGTCATGAAAACCCGTTGCGTAACTTTCGTTAACGTGACAGAGCACGCTTTGCCGATACACAGTCCTAATTCTTAATCCCACCCCTACCCACAGGTAACCTGAAGAAGCCGCCTGCGGACTTGGTTCTCCGCTGGATCGACGAGTCCTGGGAAGCTGTCCCAGAGGAGCTTGTGAAGAAATCGTTCGTCACCACCGGGATCTCCGCCAAGATCGATGGCACTGAAGACCACCTCATCCTTGCCCACATGCGGGACAAGGGTGAGGTGGAGGTCATTGACGACGTCAACGACCTCATCGACGACGAGGTCGTCATCAACCCATTCTACACCGAGGCCCCCGTGCCCCCCGAGGAGCTGCAGGCGGCAGAGGAGGATGACGCCGCAGAGGAGTCAGCGGAGGCGGTAGAGGAGGACTGGAACGCGCCTGAAGAAGGTGGTGAGGCGGGAGAGTGCAACGATGACGATGATGACTGGTGGCGCCCTGGCCGCTACGACGGAGAGGAGTGTGAAGAGTGGAACGCAGGGGCCGATGTGGAGTAGGCAGGACAAGGAGAAGCACCATAGAGCAAAGACAGAGTTAGGAAGTGATGTTAGTGCTGTTTCTGAGAAAATGATGGGTGTAGGTGCTGTTTGCCATACTTCCTTACTAGAATGTACCCTTAACATTATAATTTTTAAACACATTGATGTTTTTCAAAATTGTGTATTGTGAAAGCGAAGCTGACTGTACCGAATATTTGGCAGCGTCGAAGCGCGCTAAACGCCCTTCTCCAACTACAAAAACCGTGGGTTGGAGTTCATTCCCTCCACCCACGTTTCTCGTTTTCCAACGGCTCAATCAACATTTCCGTTCGAGTAGTTCTTTTCCCCGTCCAAGCTGGCTAGAACTCGCACCCTTCCCAGAGGCGAGTCACCCTCAACACTTCTGCAAGACATTTTCAACCACAATCGATCTACAATGGCGTCTACGCCGGCACTTAACCGCGTCAATTCGTCTGCGCCGGTTTCCGACTCCGACCGTAACGCCCGAGAAATGACGGGCGATCGCCGTAACAAGCGGCGGGCAGAGGAAGGATCGCCCGCCCCAACTGCCGTGGACGTGCTGTTGGGCGGGCTCGAGGTCAACAAAAACTCGAGCCCGCCCCAGCAGCAGCACCCCTCGGCCCCTGTGGCGCCTGTGGCGCCTGTGGCGCCTGAGGCGCGTGTGGCGCAAGTGGCGACGGCGGCACCTGCAGCACCTGGGGTGCCACACGCGCCTGACGCGGAGCACACGCCGGCGCCTGTGGCTGGACCGTCGCGTCAGCGCCAGAGGCGCCGAACATCGACTTCTTCTGACGCGACGACCCCGGCGTTGACCAACGCGTTGACTCCGGACCAGGTCGCTGCGCTTCTGTCCCTGTTACAGCAACAACCCGCCAGCGTTACAGCTACGGAAATTGCACAACCCGCGGCGTCTGCATCTGCTAACAAGGAAAACGCAAAAAAAGAAAAAGGAGCACGAGGAACAACGGCGAACCGGCACAACAAGGAAGCACCAGCCAGCATCCCACCTGCGCCAGCGGCCGACAACGACACCAACGGCTCCGACGACGATGATGGTGAGGCTCCGGTCCATACCGCAAATTTTCATTCCATGGAGCATCTTCCCCCCCTCCCCTCTACTACTAACACCACTTGGTCGGCGGCGACGATCAACGACGAGCACGTGCGGGCGAAAGCGGAGATTCTGGAGGACATGCGGGCCTACCTGAAACACGCAGAGCACAAGCTGCAGCACGGCGACTCGGCGGGCGGACTCGAAATGGTCGTCGCCGCCCTCGACGACATTTCCGCGCGCTTCGACATGTTTCAAGTCGAAGACGCATCCGACGACCGCGTTGCCAAGCGCTACAAGATGTACCTGGAGAAAAGCCTTCTCACCTCGCGGCCGTTCAAGCAAGCCGTCGCGGACGTGGCTGCCATGGACCGAGCGGCGGGCGCTCACGCTCGCTCCCACCGTGGTGGAAACCACGGCGCCAAGGCGTTCGCCCCAAAACGTGGCCCTCCAACCTCGGGCAACTTCCAAGGCTTTCGTGGTTCGTGTTTCCGCTGCGGACAGCCAGGCCACGTCGCCAATGCCTGCCCTCGGAATGGGCATGGGGGCCAAGGACCCGCACCGGTTGTGTAAGGTTCGGGCTATGGTGAAGCGCGCCTCTAGGCGCGATGCACGGTGCACTTTTGAGTGCTTAGACCGTGGGCAGCCTAGTAGGGCTTGCGGTGGCCATGGCCAGCCCTAGGATAGGGTGGTAGAAGTTGGCCATAGGCCTAGCTTTGGGGAAGAGGAAGAATGCCTCTCGGTCCCCTAGGATAGGGTAATAAAGTATGGCCGTAGGTCTAGCTTTGGGGAAGAGGAAGAATGCCTCTCGGTCCCCCGTATGCCCCAATTGATGGGATGAGAAACATGCTAGTAGGCATGACAATGTATGACCATGAGAGATAGGGATTTTATTAAAGGCCCCTCTTGTTTGTCACGGATTAAAAAAAAAAAAAAAAAAAAAAAAGAGGAGGAGAAGGGGAGAGGGAGAAAAAGAGAGTACGTACGCTCCTCACTCAAACCGCCACCATGCATGGCAAGGATGAGCAGCCCTGGTTCAACCGTTGGAAGCCCAAAAAGGGTGAGAAGGAGCAAGGGGGGGGGAGTAGGGCATAGCGATGTCGCCTAGCCCAAGTAAAGGCACGCGCGAAAAGACACGAGCTCATGACAAGCGAAGCATGCAAATGCTCAAACAACAATGGAAACACATCCAAAAAGAGAGGGAGAGAGAAAGAGCGAGAGAGAGAGAGAGAGAGAGAGAGAGAGAGAGAGAGAGAGAGAGAGAGAGAGAGAGAGAGAGAGAGAGAGAGAGAGAGAGAGAGAGAGAGAGCACACGAGGGAAGCATGATCATGGTCCCAAGCATCAATCCTCCAGAAAAAAAAAAAAAAAAAAAAAAAAAACGAGGGGAGGGAAAAGGAGAGAGTATGAGAAAGAGTTTGCCAAGGTGCGATCGGACGCCCTATATGGAATGACGACAAACCGTCCGTATGGTCCTCACTGTTGACGGTTCATTTTTCGCGCATGCATGTATATGTCACACGCATGAACTAATTAAGGCGTGCAACCTGATTGTTCGCGTTCATTTCCTTGCCGTACATACAGGAGCACAACAATACGAGGTGCCTCGCGACGATGGCCCGTACGAATTCGCCGTCACGGACAAAACCGTCACACGGATGTGCGGTCGGCTTCGCTCGACCTTTGCGTGGTGGAGCTCATGGTGCCCTTGCAGCCTCGTCCTATCCATCATCGCCAACGGTTACTGGCTTCCATGGAGCCACGGCCCACCACAGGCCTTTCGGGAGCGTAACCACGCTGGTGCATACGCGCATGCGTCGTTCACACGTACTGCCATCCAAGAACTCACAGAGACCGGAGCTGCAGTCGAGACAGCCGCAAGCGAGCTTACGTGCATAAGCCCACTTAACGTGGTCGAGCAGAAAGAAAAATAAAGGCTCATCCTCGACCTGAGAAAAGTCAACACAAACCTCATCGTCCCAAAATTCAAGTACGAAGGACTCAGCCGTGTGGCAGACGTGGCACGCGCTGGGGATTGGATGTTTTCTATTGATCTCAAATCCGGGTACCATCACATCGATATCCATCCTTCATGCTGGAAGTTTCTCGGTTTTGGATTCGATGGGCGCACTTACTCCTTTCGTTCATTGCCGTTCGGTCTTGCGACAGCCCCATTCATCTTCACGCAACTCATCAAGCAGCTAGCCCGTCGCTGGCGGGAGCAAGGCATCCGAGTAGTACCATACGTGGACGACATCTTATTCCTTTGCCAGTCAAAAGCTCACGCGCAGGCTACTTGCCACCGTGTAATACTGGACCTTAAAGCAGCAGGCTTGGTGATAAATGCGAAGAAATCACAGCTGTCACCATCGCAACACCTTCGATTCTTGGGTGTGGAGCTAGACACGGCCACAGGCCGATTTACCATCGGTCCCGAACGACGAGCCTCACTACATGCAACCATTCGGAACCTGTTGAGCGCAAGCAAGGCATGTCGACCCGTCTCAGTCCGCCAAGTGGCCAGAATCACAGGCATGCTCGCGTCAATGGGCGTCGCGCTGGGCGCAACAGCTCGTGCTTTCAGCCACGCCATGCTACAAGTGATCAATGACGCACCTTCATGGAAAAGCAGCGTGATCATCCCCCCAAACGCGGCTGAGGAGCTAAACTTCTGGCTCGAAGAGTTTGACAGGTTCAACGGTGCACCGTTTCACGTTCGAAACAGCTACGACGCTGTCATCCATGTGGATGCTAGCGCTCACAGTTGGGGCGCCACTTTGACCACATTTCCTGGCGGCCTCGAAGAAGCTAGCGCAACAATGCCAGAGCCGCTGCGAGCGACGTCCAGCACACGGAGGGAGATCGAAGGTGTGCTTTGGGCACTCCAAACATACTCCAGCAAGATCACGCACAAACATGTTCTTGTGCGGGTGGACAATCAGGGCGTCTTCTTCATCCTTCGCAAAGGTGGCTCGCGCAGCCGCGACCTTACCACGGCCTGCCAAGACATCATTCGACTATGCATGGAGCACGGCACGCGTCTAATCATCGAATGGATCCCACGGGAGCTAAACTCACACGCCGATGAGCTCTCAAAAGCAGTCGATCATGACGACTACTCGTTGAAGACGCCGTGGTTCCGCATCTTAGAACGGCGTTGGGGTCCCCATTCCATCGACCTCTTTGCAAACTCCCGCAACTCCCAGCTGCCACGCTTCTGCACTAAAATTCCTCATCCACAAGCCACCGCAGTCGATGCATTCTCGCTCGCATGGACATCAGAAAATAGCTTTGCGTTCCCCCCGCCCCATTTAGTTCCGGCCGTCCTCCATCACGCACAGCGCACCCGTGCATCGCTCACATTGATCATCCCACATTGGCCGGGTGCAAACTGGTGGCCACTTTTACAACCTTCCCCACGCAACTGGGCACCGTACATCCACGCGCACATTCCCTTGACACACGGCAGCCAATGCCTGGCAGCTGGAACACATTCCGCTGCTTTTTCAGGCACTGGATTACCACACAGCCCAATCATCGCACTTCGGGTGGTTTTTGACTAATTGAGAATGTACGCGCCTTGTGTCCAGATCCGCTCCCAAAGCTACACAACCAACTCATCAACATGCTCACACAATCGCGAGCGAATTCGACAATCCGTACATACGAACCGTACTGGGCCAAGTTTCGGGCCTTCTGCACAAAGGTGGATCTTCCATTTCTTCCCGCATCCGACATGACCCTCGCGCTATACTTGGTGCATGCAATCCAACGCAAAGCAACCTTGTCTGTAGTGCAGCTCACGTGCTCGGCAGTCAGCTTCGCCCATCGCATGACTGGAAGCAAATGCCCGACTGTCGGACCGTTTACCACCCAAGTGCGGGACTACGCGAAACGACACTGCCCTCGCCCTAGTCGTTTGAAGGAGCCCGTATCAATCCAACAAGTTCGGGACATGTCCGCGAACTACTTGCAGTCGGACAATCCCGCTGAATTTCAGAAGGGGTTGATCCCTATCCTCATGTACTCCGACCTCGTTGCCATCCAGTGGCAAGACATCCAATTCGACGATGCAGTCATGTGGATCCTCATCCCACACTCAAAAACGGACCAGGCTGGTCGTGGAACCTGGATTCCCATCGCCGCAACGACGGACCCTTGTTGCCCCGTGCGCTGCACCCAACGCTTCCTCCAACTCGCTGGCTATGGCCCTCATTCCGAGGGGTCGTTGATTCGCGTTTTCAGCCACGCTTCAGCCAACAAGGGCCAGGCCAAGCCACCCTCGTACACAACGATCCGAAACTGGTGTAAAGAAGCATTCGCCAAAGTAGGACTTGGGGAGCAGCAGCTCGGCACGCACTCCTTCCGAAAGGGCGCGGCAACCGTAGCCGCCAACATCGGCGTGCCGGACAGAATCTTCAAAAGGATGGGCAGGTGGCGAAGTGACACCGCCAAAGAGATGTACGTCACACCATACGTCGGACATCTTATCAAGGCATCCCGCGACCTACAGGACCCGACATACGCGCTGCCCCCAGAACAGCACGCAGAGGCACTCTTACGCAACCGCAAGCCACCACTGGCCATGTCTCAGAGGCCCCAGTTGCAATGAGAACGATGCCAAATTATAAGGACAAGAAAGCAAGCTTTCTCAATATTATAATTTTTAAACACATTGATGTTTTTCAAAATTGTGTATTGTGAAAGCGAAGCTGACTGTACCGAATATTTGGCAGCGTCGAAGCGCGCTAAACGCCCTTCTCCAACTACAAAAACCGTGGGTTGGAGTTCATTCCCTCCACCCACGTTTCTCGTTTTCCAACGGCTCAATCAACATCCCCACCACCCACCCCGGACCAACTACAAGACCACAGCTGCTTGGACGGACGACTCCATAGCTAGTAATATTTGCATGTACTAGCATGTGTTTACGAACGATGCATATGTTGTAATAAGCCAGTTGCAATGAGAACGATGCCCAGTTGCAATGAGAACGATGCCAAATTATAAGGACAAGAAAGCAAGCTTTCTCAATTGTGTGAAATTTAATGAATTTGCATTTTTTGCCGCGCATAACACCCACCCCCCGGGTCTTATAGAGAATCACCCCATAAAGGGGGGTATAGTACTAACGGGGTCGGATATAACACCCACCCCGTATTAGCTACCCGGGGGTGTACAATTATGGGGGGGTGTTTTATCCGGGAGAATACGGTAAGTAGTCGAATGGTGGCGCTTATAATAAGTACACAAATCTCAGGGGGGGCGCTTCTAATCGAGGTCCGGCCATAAGCGCCATGCTCCAGATAGAGGCGCCAGCGCCTATAATCGGACGGCGCCTATATCCGGGGCGATACGGTTTAACGCTTCCGCTATTACATTATCCTACTCAGACTTTAACTCTACAAAGATCCCAGGGTACCTCAGCCCAACATAAGTAACCACTACTGTGCTACACTCACTTAGGGCGACACTCCAAGGCAACAGCAGAGAATATTGCACCTCGATCAACATCGGTGCCAGCCTTCTTCTTCGCGCATGATTGAAACTCCACCGACATGTCGTCGCATAAACCATCAACAACCTTTACCGCCTCCGCAGCATCTCCCCGTCTCATGTCTCAGAAGACCCATTTGAAACGAAGCTCGTTGCCATTGCAAACACAAGAAAGCAAGCTTTCTAAATATGATTTTTTTTAAGTGTGTAACACTTTCTAAAAATGTGTATTTTGAAAGCGAAGCTGCTTGTAATGCAGTAATGGCAACGGCAAAGTGCTAGACGCTCTTCGCCAACTATATAGCAGGGGGTGGAGGCCATTTGGCCTCCACCCACGTTTTCGTTTGAAATTTCATATGTCTTATTTCCCACCCACCCACCCTAGCAAAAATTGCATGTTGTCATGTGTCATGTAGGTACCATATATATCCCGGATGAGAATGATGTAATGCCCATTTGAAACGAAGCTCGTTGCCATTGCAAACACAAGAAAGCAAGCTTTCTAAGTAGCAGCACAACCACCACAATCAGGGGGTTTGCTTGACATATACAACCACCACCATGCAAAGCCCCTGTGACAAGTCTCAAGACGGCCTTCTAAAAGACCGGTCTTGTAAAGGTTCACTCCCTCATCTCTTCTTATTGTCAGGCCCACTGCCGTTCCTTCATATCAGTTCTCCACAGACCCCAGTACCCTTAGAATTTTTACTGAAATGACAATAAGAACGCCCCGTGTCTGCACAACTCATCATTGTTCTGACACTCGCCTGCGCTGTCGTTCGTGTGCTACATCCTCACATAGCTTTTACAGGAACATGTCTATGTTATGAGCTTCATTCTGAACACTACCCGCAGTGCAGGCACAGAAACCACCTCGGCCCTCTTTGTGCACTATTCAATCCGCCTTTGCCACCCCTCTCCTCAACCTGCTCCTGAGCCAACTCATATGTCCACTGCTCGCACAAAAAATCCATCTCAGTTTTCTGTGTGCACTCCTCAGTCTGCCTCTGCCGCCACTCTCCTTCCCTCAGCGACCAGGACTGGCCCTGTCACCTGTGTCTGCTACTGCTGCTCTCACACCTCCCACAGCTGCTATTTCTGAGGGGCCTCAAAACCAGTGTTCATTACTCAGTCTGCCTCTGCCGCCCACCTCCTTCCCTCAGCGACCAGGAGTGGCTCTGTGTTTGCTACTGCTGCTCTCTCACCTCCTACAGCTGCTATTTTGAACGAGCCCCAAAAAGGAGTGTGAAATATTCAGTCTGCCTCTGCCGCCCTTCTCCTGCCTTCAGCAACCAGGACTGGCTCTGTGTCTGCTACTGCTGTTCTCCCACCTCCCAAAGCTACTGCTGCAGTCTCACCTCCCACTGCTGCTGCTGCGCTCTCACCTCCCACTGCTGCTGCGCTTCTCTCACATTCCATTGCTGGTTCTGTTGCTCTCTCATCTCGCACTGCTGCTGCTGCAGCTGCTGCTTCGTGTAGCGGCGCCGGCCCTGCCCATGTTCCCTCACCCCCCGTTCCTTCTGCTACCCCTCCGTTGGTTGCAATTTCATCCGCCGTTAAGGCTGCTTGGGTGATGGGGATGATGGTGGGAGCAATGGAGGCTTTACCAGGAGCGAGGTCTTGGCGGCAGATGGGGCAGGTGGTTTTGGCGGCGAGCCAGAGGTCGATGCAGTCGGCGTGGAAGCCGTGTGCGCACGCCGGCACCACCTTGATGCGCTCGCCCGCCGCGTACTCGCCCAGGCACACCGCGCACTCGCGCCGACACGTCATCGCCTCGTCGTCGCTCTCGATGGTAACCACAAATTCGCTTCGTTTCGAGCCAGGTTCGCCAGTGCCTTCCGTGGCCAGTTCGCTGCCGCCCTTGCTGGAGTCGTTTCGGGAGGGGCAGCGTGTGAGCGAAAATTCTCTGCTGAGTCGACGGGAGGAGCCAAAGGAACGCGAGATTTCACGGCTAATTCTGTGAAAGGTGGTTAATCCACTCGTCTCGGTGGTAACGTCGCGATCGGCGAATTTATCGCGAAAGGTATAAACTGGGAACGAGCGAATCACAGCAGGATCCAACCCTTGAGACGAATTCGCGACGTTCGCAGTCTCACGAAGGATCAACAGTCGAGCAGCTACTATTGGTCGTTCTGTCGCAGGCTCGCGTTCGGCGAACCACCCCAGCTTGTGTAGGATATGGACGACGAGGCCTGAAGCGACTACAATGATAACGAATGCTATAATGGTTGTGAAAAACATGACCGCGGATACTGGAACCATCGGCGTGCACGGCGGTGGCGGTGGTTGGGCTGACGTGGCGTTAGGCGAGCTGCTGTTGGCCATCGCTGGCTCGGCACGGCCAGGGTTTGAAAACGCGGATTGGTCGCACGAAGCCATTGCGTGGTAATCGGCAGACGAAATGGCTGGACGCCGGAACGGCAGATAAGACGGTCGGACTGCAGGCTGGCGAGAACCAAGCTGTCACACGAACGCTATCTAACCACTGGTACGGAGTCAAACTTGCAATGCTTTCAGATGCCAACTGAGAATATTCTGTATAATAACCGAAAGCATACTTGCGACAGAGTCCTTCCATATTTGTAGGCACGAGGTATTTCTGACGGTTTCGAGGACGGTGTGGGGTAGGCGGTTTGACAGTTGGTTTGCATCTAACTAGGATTTAAGAATGGATACAAACAGAAAGAATCTATCAGAAACGCCTTCCTCACTCATTGACCATATAGTAAAAGTGGATAATTCCGAAGAGCCTCGCAGCTTTCATGAACAAGGCGCACGCGAATGGCCAGGGAGGAAAATACAGAACTGCACTAGATGCGAACTAAAATACATTCAACACGGGAGCCATTGAAAGTGGTTTCAAAAGGAAACTGGATTCAGGGGAAAGCCATCGAAACAGCCAGCTTGCTTCGCCAAGCTGTTCACCTTCTAGGTCTAGAACCACATTCATGTCCGTCGTAGTTTCACCTCGGTGAATATGATTTCAGAAGTTTCTTCAACTGTACAGAAGGGCCGGGATGGGTGTTGAGAACAGCCTCGCAAGGCAGTCACCAGGAATTGTACACGTGTGAGTTCTCGAATGGTCGGTGGGGGGCACTTTTGGTTGTCAGTGAGGCGAATGTCTGTCAGCGACTCCTGGTTGCACCTTCCTGGCTCCCTGCGCTGTCTGGATGAGGACCGAATTCGTGGCTTCGATTTGTTGTCTTGAGAAGGCTTGTGGCTGGTGAAAAACACTTCCGTACATCCTCGTTTTAATGCGTCTCCAAATAGAGCACTAGCTTTCATGTAGGAGAAAACAATCTGACTGATATGCATGATAAAGTAATTGTATGATTTAACATTATTTGAAAAAAATCACTAGAAATAACTATTGATTGATGAACTGGTAGATGTTGATGTTTGTTGATTAATTGATGCAAGTGACACTATACACCCATTTATTAGTTTGATGCATCCGCGATTGTGCCACCAGCTCGGGTACGTTCACATAGTAGTTGCGTTTATGTCACATAGAATCGATTCACACGCGTGATCAGCTCAGCATTGAATTGCTAAACGTTGAAGAAAATTGGTGGCAGAGCACTACAGTTGCACGCATTCGCGCTAAAGACGAGGCCAAATCTATTAGTTATGATTAGGTCAGGCCGGCCTACAGTTGCAAAAACGTATTTATAGCCACATTTTGGTAGCAAGGGACGGCAATACGTAGGGAAATGTGACTTGCAAACGTAAAACGCACCGGGCAAAAACAACAAGCACCTCCGACCGAAACGCGCTTGGTGAGATAAACGTGTAGTCTGATCCGAAGTCATATTTTTTATCAAAACACCACCTTTGAGGAGGCTTTTGTCATTTGGCTTTTGTCATTCGTCTTCACACGAACTCCTGACTTTTGGTGCTTCCTAAAGTCGTCGTGATTGTTTGGCTGGCCTGGTCCGGCAGAAGTCACCTCGAACCAGCACAACGAAAGCCACACGATGATGGGCCGCAGAGAAGAGCAGCGGATGAGATTCATCGGGCCCTAATGAGCGAATGGGGGTGAGCTGCAACCACACGAGATTCTGCACGAGAATTTGGATCTTTGCGGAGCAATTGCTGCTGTGATAGCAGGCGAGGGGATGCACACCGTACAACACACGGAGCACCCTTATTTCTGTGCCTTCAACCCCGGCAGCTCGCATGACAGCAGTAAGTTTGAACTACAGTGCAGAAATGTCCAGTCCCACCAAGGCCAAAGCCGTATTCATTGTTTCGCACCACAAGAGCTTTATGAATGGGGTGCGTTAGCGTTTTTTTTTCTGCCCGGATCACTTTGCACCATTGATTAGCGCTGTGAAGGAAACGAGGGGCTCGATTGTTCGATCCACTTCACTGCTGCTTCAGGGGCACACCTGACCTGCCTGACCCAAACGATTCACCTCATCCATCCAATTCCTCTCACCTCCATCTTGTCGCTTCGAAGATGGTAAGAGCGTGTCCGAAGTGAAGCGTCGAATGGATGTCGATAGATGTCGGTAAATTTCAACCCTCGGATCGAGATTTTCAACCGTCAGGATTTACCGACATCGGATGTCGACGGATGTCAACTTCACTTCGGACCCGCCCTAAAGGGTGAGCGGCGGGCGACCCTCCTCCCTCCCTCCCTCCTGCGTGCAGAATAGTGGAACAACGCCCCTGCCTTTTCAGCTTTCAGAACGATATTTTTGCCACAGAACAAGCAGGACCTAAAGGGCTTTGCTTGAAATGAGCTATCTGCTTGGTCCATTCCGTAGTAGCGAGCAATCCCGACGCGAGTCTGTAAAATCACATTCTCACTGGACGAGATGAACGCTTCTGCTGTTACAACTACCGCGCCGCCTGGCCCGGACTGTGCGTCTCGCTGCGTCACTTTCGTCGCGGAAAGCACCATCATTTCGCCGCTCACATTCGCAACGGCCGTCTCCGGGTGTACGGTCCTCGTCTTCGTCATCTCTTTCGCCGTCTACCTGTACCGCCGCCCCGACTGCGTGTTTCTAGGCCCGGACGAGGAGAACGCGGGCACGAGCGATTCTCAGCGACGTGTGGTCGCGAGATTCAATGCGGATTTTGCGAAACCCGGACTCGATGCTTCCGAGATTCAAAAGCTGCCGGTGATAATATTCTGCCCGGAGAACGAAATGCGGAAATCGAATCCCGCAACAGCCGGCGGCATCGCGGCGGCATATTTGCAGCCAGCAGGGGACTCCAGCGGAGTCGCAGCTTCCGCGCTTCTTCCCTACGATCGTGACACTAACGAGGGGATCCTGAGCCTGCAGGACTGCGCGGTGTGCCTGGGCGAGTACGCGGCGGGCGAGCGCATCAAGGTGGTGCCGGCGTGCGCACACGGCTTCCACGCCGACTGCATCGACCTCTGGCTCGCCGCCAAAACCACTTGCCCCATTTGCCGCCGCGATCTCCGCAGCCCCGCCACAGCCCCCGCCCAAGAAAACGACGTGCGGACGGAACCCGGTGAGCACATCGAGACTTCAGATGGCGGAGAGGGAGCGGAATCCGCGGGAGGAGCAAGGGGAACAATGGATAGTGGGATAGCGGGAGCAGAGGCAGCCGCGGAACGGCAAGGAATGGAAAATTCAACGGCGACAGAAGCAGATTGGGGAGCTGACGCAGTTACCGTGCGGATAGAGGCAGATTCGCGGGACGACGCGGTGATGATCGTACCCATAGCGGCTGGCGCATGAGGCGCTGCTAGCAAGGCGGGACTGGGAAGCAGCGTTGCTGTGCGGAAAGGGAAGCAGCTGAGATGGGCTGCGGAAGTTTGTTTTCCAGTGAACGCTGTTGGTTGGTGTCGGTGCGGTGTCCTTCCACGAGTAGAGCCCCAGGAATAGGAATCGGGAGCGCGGGGTTTTGATTTGGGAAACAGATAAGCTGAGGGGACTTCTTTCTTTCTTCCTGGCTGCTGGCTTGCTGCGTTGCGGTGTAATTTGTGCGCGTCCAACCGCATAAGAAGGAAAAGTGATCGCTGGGAGACCGTAGATTCGACGACGCTGTAGCTAAGTTATTTTCTTTTTCTATATAGCTAGGAGACAGCAGCGTTAGAGAAGTATGGGTGCACGTCGCATTTTTTTTTTTCCACGTGAAAGCACGTGGCATTACGCTTCCTAATTAGACCTCGCAACGACGCAAGGCCGAGTTACTGTGAATTCCTGACAGCGCACGTGGCAGAATTGCTACTCGACAGAGAAAGAGCGGAGATTTGGAATGCTGGTACGAGGAGATTTGGCGCCGTCTTTTACGGCGTTGGTTGAAACGTTAGCGAGGACTGAGCAGTCCTAATTACTTCGGCCGCACTTTTTCTCCGCATGACGAGAATGTATGCGGTAGTTGGTGGAAGGGTTAGCTCTGGGGAAGGGCGCAGCTGCTTCAGGGGAGTTTCGTAAGTTGCGCTGAAGGGGACAAAAATCAGGGGAACTGAGGGGAAGAAAGGCGGAGATTCGAGGGGGGAGAAGAATGCGCTTCAGTGAGAAGAAGGCAAGTTGTCGCGCATCTGCGGAGTCGATGCGGAGTTTATGCGGAGGACTTGGGCATAATGGGGATGGTTAAGGGAGGCGCAGGGGCGTGGAGAGGGGAAGGGGGAAAGGAGGGATCAGGATGAGGAGGCTGGGGGAAGGGGGAATGAAGGATGCCAGGTTGGGGGGCTGTACTCCACCCCGCCCCATTCGCGGGTAAGGACGAGTTACATGGACGGTCTGGAGCAAGTCTGCATGCCAGTTACTGGCGGGAATCAAGCTCATTGGGCGAGGCTGGTTCCTGAATCCAAGGAGCTTTATGGAGGAATTTCGGGGCATCTGGTTACAGTTGGAAAGCAATTTCGTGAAATGGGTGGAGCGGACGGGTGCTTGTGCCTGAAGATTGGTTGGATGATCAGGCGAATGCATTCGCATCTGAAGAAGGCGATTTGGAGCAGACAGTGAAATTCGCAGGCGACGGGTTTCACTCCTTTATTTCGTTACACCGCCTCAACTACTCCGCCTCCATCCATCGTCCACTATTTCCAGCTAACTTTTCCGTGTCATTCTCTTTCCATCATAACTCCCAATCCCCTTTATGCACACAGGTGGTAGTATGATGCCCATTCAACTCCCCAGACCCAAGCCCCATTCCGAGCCCCAGGCCCCAGGTATAAGCCTCCAGCTTCACACCCCAAGGGCACCTCCCAAACCAAGCTCCAGCTAGCTAATCCCATCAAGCAGAGACTCCGCCGTGCCCCTCCAATCCTGTCATGCCATGTAGCTTTTTGCCCTCACCTCCCTCCCATTGCATCCATCCAAACAGCTCCTCCCATCCATCTCTGCCAGAATTCAGCAGACCTTCAACCACCATACCACATGGCTTTTTCCAGAAATGGCATGGCATGGCACCTACCGTAGGTGGATCAGGGCAGGTGAAAGAATCCGGAGGTACAGACGGGCAGTACGGGTGTTCCGGAAATGGCATGGCATGGCAGCCCGAGGCGAGCAGGGTAGACCCTCTGGACCTAAGCTCAGATCAGAGTTGATGTAGGGGTTGTGTTGTGTCATATTACCACTCTCTTTGTTTGTCAAGTTGCCAATGGCATGCACACCTGTGCTGCTCATTTTACCACAACAGGACACACTGTACGGTATGGGCTTACACGTCAATGGAAATGAACATTCTAATCTGCTGCTGCCTACGGCTTTCGCGGTACTGCTGCGCATTTCAAGTGATGACCCCCTTTGAAGAAAGTATGGCCCACTAATTGGCTGCTGTTGCTGCAGCAGTTCCTGATGCTATTCCTGCTCGAGGGTTCACTCCTCCCTAGTGCTGAATGGACTGCATGCACCACTGCATCTTAAGGAAGGCAGGAACAGCTGTTGCTTGCCTCTGCGGGTCGGTTGTTGCTGCACTTCATGACGCTACTACTGCTCTTGGGTTCACTCCTGCCCCTCCCTAGTGCTGACTGGACTACATATGCCGCTGCATCTTAAGGAGGGCAGAAACATTTGCTGCTTTTCTTGCCTGCGGGTCGGCTGTTGTTGCTGCAGTTCATGACGCTATTACTGCTTCAGGATTCACTCCTTCGGCCTTTATCTAGTGCTGACTGGACTGCATGTGCCACTGAATTCAAGGAAGGGTGGAAAGAGCTGCTGCATGCTTGCCTGCAGGTCGGCTGCTGGGCTCCTGATGCTGTCACTGCTTCTGTGGTTACCTGTTCTGCTCTTTTCGTGTAATGGTGACTGGACTGCATGCATTGCTGCATTTCAAGGAAGGTTTTAGAGCGCTGCTGCATGGCTTGGCTGCTGGTCGGCTTCTGCAACTGTTTCTGCTGCACCCGCTGTCACTCCTGCTCCTTAATGCTCCAATTCCACTGCCGAAGCCACTGCAATAAAAGCTGCTGCATGCCCTGCCTGTGCTTCTGCTGCTGTTGCTGCATTTCCTGCTGTTGCTCCAGCTCCTGATGCTCTTACTGCTAATGACTTCACTGCTTCTGCTGTAGGTCTTCCCCTTGTGGTGACTGGACTCCAGGCGCCGCTGCATTCTGAGGAAGCACGGAGAGAGTTGCTGCACGCCCTGACAGCAACTCTGAGGCTGGTACAGCTTCAGTGCTTACAGCTTCGATGGTTAGTACTTCTGCTCCTTTTCCTAATGGTGACTGGACTGCAGGCGCCGCTGCATTCTGAGGAAGTATGGTGACAGCTGCTGCACGCCCTGACTGCGTGTCGGCTGCTGCTGCTGCTGCTGCAGCTCCCGGCGACGCCTGCATTGCACACAGATATGAGATGAAGGCCGTTGCTCACTCATCCCACAACAACCCATCGTAAAATAAGAAACTATTGATAACAATAGTAGTAGTAATAATAATAATCGTAAATATAATGATGCAATAAATAAACATAAGTCAAATAGCAAGCAAACAAGCTCACACCTTGCTCTGAGTCGTTGTAACCGTCTGCGAGCCAGATTCCACCTCCCCTGCCGTTGGCCTCCTTGCTGGTCCTGCTGCTGCCCGTTCTGCTGCCCCTGCGGCTGCCCGTGCACCCTGCCGCCCACAGTGGACCAATCAGGAAGCAGCACCCATTCCGGCACCCCTCTGCTCGCCGCCTCCTGCCTCAGCCGCTCATCCAACCCCTCGCTCCATGTGACTGTAGCGAGTGTGCTCGTAAACGCATCGTCTCTTATAGACGCATTTACTGTAGATGCAGGTTCTTGTTCTGTTAGCGGAGGTAGCGGTTGAAACACACCCCATTGTTGTGCAGGTGCTACAGCTATGTCCTGCTTAGGCTTGGAATTCTCCCTCCCGTTATAGTCACAATGGCGGGAGTCACGGCCAGGAGCGGCAGCAGGGAGGAACCAGCCGCGAAACGCGCGCTTGCAGAGGGGGCAGGGGGGAAGGGGGGAGGCGCAGCTGGCGCGACTGGTGGAACTGGCGCGATCTGCGCGGCTGGCGCAGCTCCAGACGCGGATGCACGGCAGGCAAAAGCGGTGCATGCAGGGCGACAGGGCGACGATTGGCGATAGGGCTACCACTGGCGAAGCGGCGGAAGAGGGTGAGCTGTCGGAAGCGGGGAGGGGGGAATTTGCTGCTTCCACCGATTTGGATTCGATTTGCGCGGCTGACGCCGATCGGTCGCTGGTGCGGGGTTGCGCGGGATGCCCTACCCTATCGGCGTTCACAAGGTTCCACGAGGGCTCGAATTGCGAGTCCGCGAAGGGGATCAGGCAAATCGGGCACACGTCACCAGACGGCGGTGATATTAACGGGGGGTTCGGTTTCGCGGCGTGTGATTCTAACGAGGATTCGACAGGTTCGGCGTGTGATTCTAACGAGGATTCGACAGGTTCGGCGTGTGATTCTAACGAGGTCACGGTACGCTCAGCAGGATCGGCGCTTGGACGGATGGTCGAGTCGGAGGACGCCATGCCGCAATTACCGTCAAGATAGTCGTCGCGCTGGTAATTTTGCCGTCGAAGGCAGAAGCACAGACTTCACTGCTTGCAGTTCCTGAACATACCCGCTATTGTTCTGTGTGGGATTCATCTCCAGAACCACTGGTGTGCATTTCCATGAGTAAAAAGGTCTTCTCAATACACTCTCAAAACGAGAATCTCTTTGAAGTTTTCAACGAAGGTATTACTTAGTTCCCGAAGTTTGTAGTGATACAAAACAATAAAGGAAGTCTTTCGCGTGCACCGAGAGCTCACAACTGCACCGAGTTCACCCACCCCCACCATTCCCGCCTGTTTACTGTGATGCTCTTTTTCCTAAAATGTACGAGGATGTAGGAGGTGCTTCACATCACGACACGTGGATCAGCAGTGCACTAACTGCTCGTTAGCACTAAGCGGAAGTAATATCCCGATTCTGTGTGATTATCTCTCAGTCGTGGGAGAGTGCTGTTCGATCTCGACCCATCATCTCCCGGTGCGTGGGATTATTGTTTCTTCTTCATATCAGCGTTGGACCCAGTTATGTCATTTGGGACGAAAAACGGTTTCTGAAATGGTTATTTGGCTGGATATACTCGCTATTGAGCACTTCGCGACACCGTTCTCCGGTGTACTTAGTACTGAAATACTTTGAGAGCATGATCTCAGACCTCGTAGTCGTCTCGTCGCTCCAATAGTAGTGAATTCTGTCGCCCACGTCGACATGGCCACGACACCTACCCAGGTGACGTGGCAGGAGATGCAACGCATGCTGACGTGTCTTCTGGAAGCAACCGAGGTAATCCGAGTAGCCAATAATCGGAGGCAGCAGACCGCTGACCTGCTAGACGAGTCGATCCACGTGTCGTCCGCTCATTGGGCCCGTCACGAGGCTCTAGTCGCCGCGCACACGCGGGTCGCCGCCCGGCGCGCCGAGCTGGACAAACTACGTGCTGACGTGGCGGGAGCCCAGCGTGAGGTGGAGGACAAGCGCGCGGATGTGGAGAGGCGGAGAGCGGAGCTCAAGGAGGCGAGACACTCGTTAAGAGCTGCCTCGACAAGATTAGTGGTACGATATGGTCACGCTGAGTTATAAAGGGATGGTTAATCCCACTAGCAGCGAGCCCCGTTAATGTCTGACCTTGTTTTGATGCCCACGCGCTCCCATGCTCTCCTCTTTACCCCTTGTAATTCCATCTTCCCCCCTTCTTTATAGCCCATCCTTACCACTCTCCCTGTTCCCGTCTCATCCCCTTCCCCTTTGTAATCCCATTTTCTCTCTCTCTCCCCCCCCCTACTCCCCTCCCCCCTTTTACAATCACACCCACAGGAAGCGGACCGATTTCTGTCACAGGAAGGTTCGAAGCAACAGCTGACAGTGAGAAGGCGGCTGGCCACTAGACGACGACGAATGCTGGTCCAACTGGCGGGGATCATCCCGCTTTCCCCCTCCTCCCCCTCTCCCTCCTCCCCCTCCCCTTCCTCCGCCTCCCCCTCTTCCTCCTCCCCCTCCTCTCGTCCCTCGTCCTCCTCCGCTTCGGTTTCTCCTCGACCCCCCTCCTCCTCCTCTTCCTCCGCTTCCTCCTCCTCCACCGCCCGTCCCTCATCCGCCTCGTCCCCCATTCCCCCAACCGCATTGAGACACGTGGCAAGCGCGGATAGCAGCTGGGGGAGCGGGTGGGGCTTCTGGGGTAAAAGGGGAGGGGACGCGGGAGGGGCAGGGGCAGGGGCAGGGGCAGGGGCAGGGGAGGAAAGACGAGGGGGAGGGGAGAGAGATGAGGGAAAGAGTGTGATTGATATTGGGGAGAGTGGGAACGATAGGGGTAAGATTGCGGAGGATATTGGAGAGAGTAAGAAGAAAGGGAGGGTGTACAGTGATGGTATGCTGATGGATAGAGGGCGAAGAAACGAGGAGGCAGAGGGGGAAGGAAGGGAGGTTAAGAATATTACTGATTTGCATGTAACTGGCAACCCGACTGGAAATTCAGAAGCTGTGGAGGAAACAGCTGGTACAGGAGAGAGGAAAGGAAGGGAGGTGGGGGAGGGGAAGAAAAAGGAGACTGCAGGAACAACAGTGGATGTGACTATATTGGGGCTGCCGCTGATAACGGCACCTCGGTTACAGTCACTGTTCAGTGGGGGAGGGGCAGGCATGGATGAGGGCGCGAGGCAACGGCACGACGCTGCCTTGGGCTTGACTGCTCAGGTAAAGGCTATACCGTTGTTGCTAGGAGGTTTTTGAGACGTCTCAAAAACACCCTCACCTCAGGTAAAGGCTATACCGTTGTTGCTAGGAGTTAGATCAGTGGTAATGGTGTTGTGGTGTGGGCTAGATAGGGTCACAACACCGTTTGGGGTTGAATGAGGGGGCAGTGGCTGAGACGAGGGTGAGAGGCAAAGGCATGACGCTGCTTTGGGGTTGACTGCTCCGGTAAATGCTCTTCCCTTACTCAGACTCTTCCCTTGCTGCTAGGAGGGTGGTAGTGATTACGATCTTGCAGGCAGAGGCATGGAAGGTCTGCCACATGGAGGCATGGGAGGCATGGAAGGTCTGCCACATGGAGGCATGGGAGGCATGGAAGGTCTGCTAGGGAGGGGCCGCATGGAAGAGGGTGCGGCGCAGAGAGGTGTATTTTGAGGCGCCTCAAAATGCACCTCATTACGATCTTGCGGGCTAGGGAGGGGCCGCATGGAAGAGGGTGCGAGTTGACTTTTGAGTCGACTCAAAAGTCAACGGGCTAGGGAGGGGCCGCATGGAAGAAGGTGCGAGTTGACTTTTGAGTCGACTCAAAAGTCAACGGGCTAGGGAGGGGCCGCATGGAAGAGGGTGCGGCGCAGAGGCACGACGCTGCGTTGGGGTTGAACTTGACTGCTCAGGTAGAATCTATCCCCTTGCTGCTAGAGGGGTGGTAACCGTTGTGTGCACGTTAAAGGCTCTTCCCTTGCTGCTAGGGGTGGTAACGGTTGTGTGCACGTAAAGGCTCTTCCCTTGCTGTGCATGCTACCTGCACCTCCCCCTGCGCTAGACCATCCTGCTCCCTCCTACCTTCGGCCTCATGCCTCTTTCACTCCCCTTCCCATTCCTCCTGACCCCCTCCCTCTCCCCCACACCCTTCCAACCTTATAGACTTCTGTGCGTGATATCTGAACCTACCCCTGTGCCTCCCCAACCTGCTCCCTTTGAGTCGACTCAAAAGCAGACTTCTGGCCCCCTCCCTCTCCCCCCCACCCTTCCAACCTTATAGACTTCTGTGCTGATATCTGATCCTACCCCCCGCACTACTTGAGGCGCTTCAAAAATCCTCTTCCCCCCACCCTTCAGGCTTGTATGCTTCTGTGCGTGATATCTGAACCTTCCCCCGCGCTACCCCAACCCGCTCCCTCCTCCCTCCTCCCTTCTGCCTCATGCCTCTTTTCTCCCCTGCCAGAGTGGAAGCGCAGCTGATGCACCTGCAGGGGGGCAGGGGCCAGGGGGGTTTGGACTGCTTTTGCTGCCTCATGGTGGACCGGCATCCCTTCCCTTCCCCTCTTTTCCCCCCTCCTCCTCCTTCCCACACCCCCCCCCCCCCCACTCCCCCCTCCCTCCCGTCCAGCTTGTATGCTTCTGTGCGCGCTACCTCCACCTCCCCCTGCGCTACCCCATTCTCCTCGCCGGCTCGCGTTGCCTCATGGTGGACCGGCACCCCCCTGCCAGAGTGGAAGCGCAGCTGATTCTCCTGCTCCCCTTCCCTCCCCTCCCCCCACCCCCACCTTCCCCCCCTCCAGCTCGTCTCTTTCTGTGCGCGCTACCTGCACCTCCCCCTCCGCTACCCCATTCTCCTTGCCGGCTCGCGTTGCCTCATGGTGGACCAGCACCCCCCTGCCCGCGTGGAGGCGCAACTGATGCACCTGCAGGGGGCAGGGGTGGGTGGTGGCACTGCCGGGAGAGGGGTAGCAGCAAGGGGAGCAGGAGGGGTAGGGGGAGGAGGAGGTAGAGTGGGAGGAGGAGGGGGAGGGAGAGCTGGTTTCCCTCAGCAGATTGAGCAGCAGCAGCAGCAGCAGCAGCAGCAGAAGCAGCGGCAGCAGCTGCTGTATAAGTCTGCTAGTGACATGAATCTGCTGCCAAGGAATGGGAGTAGGGGGAGCAAGGGGAGTGGCTGGGAGAAAGGGAGCGGACGGAGGGGAGGCAGCAGGAGCAACTCTCCTGAAAGGGAAGCTTTGGAAAGAGGAGGTTTGGAAAGAGGAGGTCCGGAAAGGGGAGGTTTGGAAAGAGGAGGTTTGGAAAGAAAAGCTTCGCCTGCAGGGGTGGTGGTGAGGGATCGGAGAGGCGTGAATGGGGCGAGTGGTCTGGGTGATGAGGGGTGGGAGGCGGTTGTGAGGGGTGCCAGCCTGAGCAGCAGCAGCAGCAGTGGTGGTGTTGGGAATGGTGCAACGGCAGGAGGAATGGCAGGAGGAATGGCAGCGGCAGGGGGAATGGCAGGGCCGGTGGGTATGGCAGGGGCGGGGGGAGTGGGAGGGGGGATGGGAGGGGGAGTGGAAGGGGGAGTGGAGGTGCAGCTGGCTCTGTACATGGGTCAGTCGCACGATGCAGGGCGATGCGCTTGTGCCATGGTGCTGCTGGGGAATGTAAGTATTCATTATTGTGGTCATTGTTGTTTTCAAGCATACCCCATGGCGTGCTGCTGTTGGGGAATGGAAGTGATGTGTTGACTCTTCTCACAAGGGGGAATGGGAGGGCTTGTCAGAGAGGGAATAGCAGAGAAGGGGGGGGGGGGGGGGGGGGGGGTGGAGGTGCAGCTGGCTCTGCACAAGGGTCAGTTGCACAATGCAGGGCGATGCGAGTGTGCGATGGTGCTGCTGGGGAATGTAAGTGCCGTGATGATTCTTACAAGGGGAATGTGAGTGCTGATTTTATGCATGAGGGTAATCTAGGAAGCAGGGCCCATGCCATGGAAACACGGCCCATGCCATGGAAGCACGGCCCATGCCATGGAAACATGGCCCATGCCATGGAAGCACGGCCCATGCCATGGAAACACGGCCCATGCCATGGAAGCACGGCCCATGCCATGGAAGCACGGCCCATGCCATGGAAGCACGGCCCATGCCATGGAAGCACGGCCCATGCCATGGAAGCACGGCCCGTGCCATGGTGCTGCTGAGAAACGGGAATGCTGATCCTGAAAAGGTGTGCTGTTTAAAGGGTGATTTATTCAGGACGGGGGGAATATGCCACCGTGCTGTTCCAACATGTCCTTTTTGGACGGCTGTGATCAGTTGAGCATGGCATGGTGTTGGCCGGCGTGGATTGTTGGTAAGTGCACTTTGATGTACCCCTTCCTTTCTTTAAGCGCCAAACCCCCTTCCGTTTTTCTTTATGAATTCAAAAACGTTCGTAAGGTCGGGCTGTTTTCTCAACTCCAGCACCCCCAATCCCCCCCTTCATCCTCTCCCTTTCTGTTCGCCCCTGCCTGACACTTTTTTGAATCTGCTCTCGTCCATCAGGATATAGAGCAGCTACTTGCTTCGGTCGGGCTGGTTTGGAAAGGTTCCCGACATCTGCTCCTGTATAATCTGCTTCGCTTCTTTGTTGCAGTAGATGCGGGTCAATGTGGACTTGCCTAAATCGTTGGAGCACATGATCTATTACCGTGAAGATATTAGCGTGGCTAGCTTCTACAAGCTGTTCCCAGTAAAACCCGAAGCACTCTTGTATCGAATTCGTTTTATACCGAGGAGTTGGAGTGAGGAATTCGTATACCAATGCAGAATATCTCCCTCACGATGTTCACGTGCTGGTCAGGTCATGTCTTGACGCGCTTCGATCTCTCAAACTGTACAGTTCTCAACTCAAGTTCTCAACTCAACCGTGCGGTTTCTTTCTTTCGTGGTGCAATTGGCAACTTTCCGCATCCCACGGCGGACAAATTTGGCAAAATGCATTCAACCCCTAAAAAACTTCCGCGACTCGTCTGCCGACTTTGAACCGCACATTCTCGAAATGCGACTCGTGGCAGAATGTTACGCCAGATGGTGTCTACGTGCTTCCACCATCCAGACCGAAGCTCATCGGTATGCAATATCCATCCAGCACCAATTCCATTTGAGCACGCATACCAAGCCAAAACGCAAGGCCTGCATTCCATGTGAGCTTGAAGGAATGCAATGCAGTCAGCACAACGTACCCCACCATGCTCCAGTCTGCGTCCAAGTGCAGTCGAATGTGTGGTCGTCGCAAGAGTCCAACGGGGTAAGCAGTTACTGTAACGCTTCATAAACATGCTCGTAGCTTGTGACTGATGCCGTTATTCGGCAGCTTCACACGGCACAAGGGCCAAACAGACAAAAAATACAGCAGAACCGAATGCTTATTGTCCAGTCTGTCGTAGATCAGGCCTAGCGGGGAAGAATCTGCAGCAGATTTTTTTTGGCCTAGTAATTTTCCAGCCAAGCTTCTGTCGTCAACTGATGTTTCGCATGAACCCAAGCTTTTGACCTTATCTCAACCGCTGTTGCGTGGCAGTTTGTAGGAGATATTTACATCCGCGTGACTTTTTTATTGCCTTCGACGATACTTCACGTCGGTTAAATATTTTCCTTCCTCTCGCCTGTAAACTACAGCAGGGTTCATGAGGTCATGACGATTAAAGGCAGGCATTAGGCACTGTGATGACTGCCACGCTTTTCTTGGCTCACCAAGCTCCGTTGTCGCACATTACAGTATTGCAAGTAGTGAAGGATTCTCCCGCATCCCTGGAGCCAATAACAGATGCCCAACGGCTGTAGAATTTCCTCGCACTCCTTGACGACTTGATTTGGGGGGCGAGAAGGCGTCAATGGTGTGCTGAGAGCTCGCGTTGTGAGGCTGAGCATTACTACAGTACGGGACGGGATGCGGAGCCACGTGTTAGGGCAAAAACGCTTGATCGGCCGTGAAATGATTATTACTGCGTGTCCACGTGGCACCGCGACTGTTCACGGTTATCAAGGCGAGCGGCAGGTCGTCCTTCGACAAGCGGCAAAAGGCGCTTGATCGCGGGTCTCTATGGCGTCTTGCGACGGAATTCCAGTAGATTAGTTTGACGGAAAACCCATGAATTTTTTGCATAGAACCAGAGCACCGCTCGATTAGGCATTGGGCGGCGGTTCGGATCGCTCGAATGCTAATGCGCCATGCCTCTCGCGCTGCACCCCTCCCGCTCGGTGTGACACCACTGCAGCTGAAAGCCGAGTCACGTCTGCGAAACTTCAAAAGGTGGCACACCGCTGTATGCAGCTGAAACAAGCACGAGGCAGGCTACCTTGAGGGGGGGCGGCGTGCAACCTCTCTTTCGAAAGGAGGGTGCTGCTCTTGAACTTATCGTTACTAGCACTCTTATCCTAACAAGGCGGCTTCTGAGTCGACTGTGGGATACTCTCACAATCTATCGCCGCTAATACCCGCCAACTACTCGCCATCTAACGCTCGCCTTTCCCGCTGCTCGCCTTGTCAGTAGCGATCGCGCCGTTCCCTGCGTGCGCGGCTGGCAGTGGTTCGCACCGGCTGCGTTGCGACACACCCTGCTGGCTGGCTGGCTGTTGGCTGCTGTTCGACACACCCTCGGACTTTCGCTGCAGAAGCAAGGCAAGAACCATTTGAAGGGCGGAACACAGCGACGAAAAGGAGCTGGGATCGGAGCAGCAGAGTTCTGTACGAGCAGGAAACGGAGCAGGAGAGAACCAGCAGCCTGTTGGTCTCCTTACTAGCCCAGAAAACTTGAAATTGAATTGCGTCTTCTGTACGGCCAGAAATGAGCGAGGCTCTTGCAAGAGATTCAACTTGAAGCCTCTTGGCCCAAGTTTATATGCTACCGTTGATTCAACCATTTGGAACCATCAGCAGCTGACCATCACAAACTTCAGAGGACCGAGCTACCAAGACTTTGAGGCTGATATCAGAATTCAAGGTGAAACCCTTCGCAGCGACCAGTCATCAATTGAAGGTCAAGCTCTAGCGAGGATGGATCCCTTCGCCCGTCTCCCCGACGACCTGCTGCTCGCGGTTCTCTCGCGCGTGGGCAGCGCGGCGCGTGACGTCACCCGGCCCGCGATGACGTGTCGGCGGTGGAACGACGTGACGCGCAATGTGCCTGCGCTGCGCCTGGAATCGAGTGGCGGTGGCGTGGCAGCTAACCAGGCGCCGTACTTGACGTTTGAGGTGAGTGCCGGTCCAAGCAAGCCATGGCGGACCTGGAATTTTCTATTCGAATTTTGTATTCGATGGTCAGGAGATGTTCTGTGTGTCCAAGCAAGCCATGGCGGACCTGGAATTTTCTATTCGAATTTTGTATTCGATGGTCAGGAGATGTTCTGTGTTTCTTTTTTGGGGGATACTTTGTTGAGTTGTCCTTTTACACCGCGCTCAGTCTCCTGTTACCCCTCCTTTCCCCCCACGCCCCCCCCCACACACGCATCAGTGCCAGGCCTCGCGAATGATCCTCCGCACGCAAGCCCTGCGCCAGCTCACCATCGTCTCGCCTCTAGCACCGCCTTCAAACCACGGAGGGCCGTCTTACCCCAGCCAGACGGCGTCAAGCGGATGTCACGGAACCTCTAGCGGCGGAGGTCCTATGATGACTCCCAGTGGACGTTCCGCTCCTCCAAGCCGCGGACCTTCCACTTTCTGCAGACGTCCCTCTTACTCCACCGAGTCGGCGGAACTCCCCTCCTCCGCAAATTGCGCCTGCTGCAGCCAGCATTATTGCGCCAGCCAGGCTTCTGCGCCATTTGGGGGAGTCCCCCCGCCCCGCCATCCGCGGGAGTTCATTTTTGAAGCGTGGATGCGCCACGTCGGGCCGTCTCTGCACTCTCTCACCCTCTCACGCGCACTTCCTGCCACGAATTCCGCGAAGCGCCCTTGCGGCAACGGCACCAGCGGCGGGAGCGTGGTGGTAAACCTGTGGGAGGAGGAGGACGCAAGTCTGCATCTCGCGCACATTTCTCGCCACTGCACCAACCTGCATTCGCTCTCATTGGGCCACGTGTCTCTCTCCGCTCCTACCCTGCTCGCCACTCTCCAGCCCATGCCGGCCCTACACCACCTCTCGCTCTCGTGGCTCCACGCGTCTCCCGCCGCCCTTCACGCCGTGCTTGACGCCGCGCCGAACCTCCGCCACCTCACGATATTCATGGCGTCAGGTTTCCCGTACCTGAAACTACGCGTTCCTCCGTCCCTCCAGCACCTCTCGCTCTCCTACATCCGCGCGGAATCCGTCTTGCTTCACTCCGCGCGCTCCCTCCAATTTCTCTCTGTCCGCGACATGTTTCTCAGCGCGCTCTGCATCCACGATGCGCCCAACCTGCGCCAACTCGCCGTCGCTTCCGCCAACCGCCTGCTCGTCTCCGCGCCTCGCTCCAGCCGGCTCGCGTCGATCGACCTCCGCGCGGGCTCGCTCAACTGGCCCGCCACCGAAACCCTAATTTCAGCCAATTCGGCTGCGCTCGAGTCGCTCTCCCTCGATTTTTTTGCCACCAGCTCGGGCCTGCCCTCGGTTTCGTCGCTGCCCTGGCTTGCACGGAACTGCCCGGGGTTGAAAAGTTTGAGATTGGGTGCGCTGGCGTGGCAGAATATGGTTGACTCAGCTGCAGTTTCGGGGCTTCTACAGTCACAGGGGAAAACTGGTTCAGATGGTACACCTAGTCATGGTTGTTTATGGCCTCAGTTAGAAGCTGTTACTGTGAGAATCGCGGAAAAGGCACCCGAATGCCTGCTTCTGCTTCATTTGATACTCTCTAACACCCCGACTCTGACGGGCCTTCACGTGACTGTAGAGGGGGAGGAGGAGGAGGAGGAGGACGAGGAAGAGGAAGAGGACATGGATGACATGGAGTATGATGGAGTTTGTGATGCTACTTGCATCGATGAGCATGGGGAGGAAGATGAGGAGGGACACGACATTGATGGGGAGACCAACTACTTCCCACACTCATCTGCTCCACTTTCTGCCCCGCCTGCCTTGTTTCATCTAATTGAGCCCAACACTGCACTGGCCAGATTCACTCAGCCTGTGGATTACCGCTTTGCACTGACAGCAGCAGAGAGACAGCACCAGCTGTTTTTGAAGGGCCTGGACTTCCTCCATAGGCGGTTTGGATGCTTCCATGTAGCATCCCCTATGCTGTACAGGAGGAAAACTGTCTGAACCTGAGGCGGGTTGCATTGCACGACCATACAACAATAGTGCTATTTACAAGGCAACATCGTACTTCAAGGCATTACATGGGTAGTTACTTCACCTCCCCTGCATAATCAATAAAGGTTCAGTCTCTTCTTGTTCAGAAGTTTCCCATCCTTCAACATCAATAGTGTGGGCCAGCTGGTTCCAAGCTAATAGCTCCTCTGTCCACGAATCACTTCCTGGACCAGGGAATCTCCTTAGCGATTATGCCCATCCTTGGCGGTTCGCCAGAATACTTCTCTGGAAAGCTGCCCAGTTCGTTGTCTTCTCTTCTCCCACATTCCGCCCTGCATCACCTCCCTCCACGTATTTTCCATTGATGAAGATCTCAAGCCGTGCGTGATAAGCTGCATCCCTCTCAGCTTCTGTCTTGAAGTACCCAAAATATGATCACTGCAGCAGAGTCGCGTTGGGTGACAGTTGCACTTAGGTAAAGGGACGTTATCAGGACACAGAGCAGCACTTGCTTCGATTGGACTGTTTTGAAAAGGTTCCCTTTGTTGGGCTGAGATAGCCCCTTAGGATCTTTGCAAGGGATAACTCTAGGTGAAGTAGTTGTAATAGCGGAAGCGTTTAGTGAAGAATTTGAACCGACCTTGCACTGGTGTGTGAGAGCAAAGTTGATTGAATTAAACAAGCAAATACAAGGATTTATATAAGAGTACAGGGAATAGATAGATAACTGTATTGCTGTTGCGGTTCGATATAGCGCGACTCGGGCAACTGCTCTGTAACGAGTCAGTTGTGTGTCCTTAACTGTCGCGCTGTAATTGTCGAGTCAAAGGTCAGCGACCTTTGACTTTCTCGTAACCTCCAGGCGGTTACCCTAACCTCCGAGGTTGACTCGATGCTTCGATTGGGACTGCTTCGCTTGGTACCTTGGATTTTGATACGACAGAAGCGCACTTAGGACTTATTGTTTCCAACACTCCCCTTCGCTTCTGGAGTGTTACTGCTGGTGACGTGGCCTTGTCCAGTCAGCATCATGCAGTATTCGAACTTCTGCTTGCCGAGTTTCTTGGTCAAGTAATCGGCTGCCATCTCGGATGTTGGACAGTATGACAGATCGAGTTTCCCTTTTTCTATCTCGTCCTTCACGAAGAAATAGCGCAGGGCGATGTGTTTCGTCCTGTTTGCGAAGCCGTTTTTGTTGGCGATGCGAATTGCTGACTGGTTGTCGCAGAACACGGTGAAGCTGGGTAACTCGGCTAGCTTCGCTTCTTCCAGTAGTTCGCGAAGGTAAAGTCCCTCCTTGGTGGCTGAGCAGAGTGCAATATATTCTGCTTCTGCTGAAGATAGTGCGATTAACTCCTGCTTGCTCGACTGCCAGGAGATAGGACCGATAGGCTCAAGGCGGTAGACATAGCCGGTGCGTGAGCGCCTGTTGTCGGTGTCGCCGGCGTGATCGGCGTCGACGTAGCCGATTAGCTTAGTCGGTGTAGCTGCGCTCTTGTGGTAGGTTAGCCCGATCGTCGCGGTGCTGACGAAGTAGTGGAGAGCGCGATCAAGTTCCGCCAGGTGTTCAGCTTCAGGCTTCTTGAGATAGGTGGCGAGCTGACTTGCGGAGTAGGATAAGTCAGGACGGCAGGTGACGGCGGCGAATAGCAGGCATCCGAGCTTCTTCTGATAGTCGCGTATGCCGGCGGGCTTGAGTAGAGTAGTTCGTTCCTTCTCGGTTCCTGATGTGTAGCGGTAGGGCGTGGAGATGGCGCTTGGTGTGAGGCTGAAGCGTTTCGCGATGGTGTCGGCGTATTTCTCGGCGCTTAGATAGATGGCGTTTTCTTCTTCGCGGATGTTGAGCCCGAGGTACTGTGTAACGGTGGAGGAGACCGTGAGCGTGAGGTCTTTCTGGAGCTCTCCTTCGAACCACGTGGCGATGCCGTCGGTTGACCCAATGTAGAGGAGATCGTCCACGTAGACGATCAGGAGAACGTAGTCGCTTCCCTTAGTGAGGCGGTACATGCCTTGGTCGTGAGGTAGTTGACTAAAGCCGATGCGGATGAGACGGGCGTGCAGGTACTGCTGCCACAGTCGCGGTGCCTGCTTGATCCCGTAGAGCGATTTAAGTAGTTGACAGATTCGGTTGGGTTCGCCGTGGGAACCGTGCGGGAGCTCGACGTAGATTTCTGCATCCACAGGTGCGTAGAGGAAGGCATTCGCGACGTCGATCTGCCGTAACTTCTTCTTCTTCATGGCGGCAATGGCGAGGAGAATTCGGAGTGACGTGTGGCGGCTGACTGGAGCAAAGGTCTCGGTGAAGTCTCGTCCTTGCTCTTGGTCGAATCCACGTACGACCCAGCGTGCTTTGAATTTTTCGATCGTGCCGTCTGCTTTCGTCTTGATGCGGAAGACCCATTTCCCGGTAAGGATGGTTTTGTTCCGTGCCACGCTTACGGGAACAACCTTCCAAGTGTTGCGTTCCTCTAATGCCTTCAGTTCTCTATCCATGGCTTCACGCCATTTCTCCCTGTGTTCCCCCCCCAGAGCCTGCTGAACCGTTGCAGGCTCCTTAGGAAGCGAGCTGCGTGTGTTCCCGTGGACTGCGGTGACGAGGCCGAGGATTTGCAGCCCAGTCTGTGAGTATCGAGGGAGTTCTGGATCCTCGGGATAAGCTGCTTCGTCTCCCGTTTCTGGGTCGGGCATGAAATTTGGCCCTACCCTTTCTGCTTCGTTGGTGTTGACTGTCACAGGTGTTACGTAACCATCGTCGGCGAAACGGTAGAAGATTTCGGCGTTGTTACTGTCGCGAGGATTATCCTCATCCATGGGCACGTCGACGGAGCAGTATGGGAGAGGTCCGGCTTCTTCTGAGGCGTTGTCGACGTTCTGTTCATCCCAGTCTGCTTCGTCCGCTGCTGACGCGAAGGCTCGGTCACCACGAAAACCACTGGTGAGGTCCCGATTCTCGTGCAAGTTGGCGAGGTACGTCTGAAGGGTGAGTCTTTCGTAGAAGATCACGTCACGTGCTGCTACTGTTTCCTTTGTGTGGACGTCGAAGATTTTCCATGCGTTGTAATTTTTCTCGATGCCGAGGTGTAGTCCCCACTGTGCCCGTTGCGAAAATCTTCCCGCTCGTGCTTCTGGGGTTCTGTACTGTACCATGCACCCGAAAACTCGTAACATTTTCGTGCTGCCCTGCTTCCCTGTCCACAGCAGATGCGGTGATGCGTTGTTCGGGAGTGACGACGACGACAACAAGTTGTGTAGCATGACAGCGTGGTCCATTGCTGCTGGCCACTGGTGGTTGGGTAGCCGCATGCCACGTAATAGTTTGCGCATGCTGTTCTGCAGGGTCCTGTTCAGTCGTTCTGCAACACCTTGCTGCTGATGTGCGTAGGGAAGGGAGAGGAGTTGCTTGATCCCCCTTTCCGCCAAGAACTGCTTGAAGCGGTGAGAGGTGTACTCGCCACCTCCGTCTGACTGGAAATTTTTCAGTTGTGTTCCAGACTCTCTCTCTGCTATCGGTAGCCAAGCGGCGAATGCTGCGAGCGCCATGTCGCGGCTGGGTAGGTTGCGATGCCAGACGTATCGAGTGGCGGCGTCGATGAAGGTGATGGTGTAGTTGTAGTTGACTTGTCCTGGCTCGCGATTGTAGAGGATGTCGCTGTAGACTTTTTCGAGTGGTGCGTACGCTGGAGCGCTCGGGTTGTGATGTGAGGCAAACGGTCGATGAGGTAAGTCAGCTTCGGGACATATAAGGCAAGTCCCTCGTGCCTTCTGGAGTTCTCTGCCATCGGGTAGAAGTAGAGAATCTTTGTCAAGGACTCCTGCTCTTATCGTGTTATTCAAAACCGTGTTGCTTGGATGTCCTGTTCGTGCGTGCCAGATCTCTTCAGAGGCGCGGTGTCCAGGTGAACGCTGATATGCGTCGGAGTTGGAGTAAAAGCTGGCGACGAGGTTGGCGCTTCGGTGGACTTCACGTTGAGTCGGATTCAGCTGTTTCGCGGGTGTTGGTGGTGCTTCGTCGACTGTGACTGGTGTCGTTGTTCCTGCTGCTGCTGATGTTGTTGCTGCTGCCGATGTTGTTGCTGCTGCCGATGTTGTTACTGCTGCTAATGTTGTTGCTGCTGCCGATGTTGTTACTGCTGCCGATTGTCGAATTGTTGCTAATGCTCGTGTTCGTTCTGCTTCAGGAATGGTGTGCGAGTACCAGAAGCCTCCTGGGCTGAAGTCGGGGTCGAGATCCGGAGGGTGTGTCCAGTCAGTGAAATTCACGATGGCGTCGCTGTCTGCAGTGCCCAGGTCAGGAACGAAGTCGAGGACGAAGACGTTGTTCTTCAGCACTGCTTTCCCGATGTAGAGACCGCCTCTCCCGTGGTAAAGTTTGAACTCCTGGGTCGTGCTGTCGGCTTCCAGATGAATTCCTTTCGCCATCAACTGGCTAACGCTCAGTAAGTTGTAGCCGAGTCCTTCAGCGATGAGTACCTTAGACATGTGCAGTATGACATTTGTTTCTCTTGACTGAAGCTGTACCACTCCTTGTCTTCGTGTGCGCAGGTTTTGGTTGTTGGCAACCGTGATGATCACTTCCCGTTGGAGTCGATGTTCGCGTTGTACGAAACGCCCGGACGAGCACATGTGTTGCCCGCAGCAACTGTCCAAGAACCAGGTGTCTTGGCCGGACGGTTCACTTTGAGCGATGGCGGCGTACGTTGGATTCGGCTGGAGTAGCTCACGGCGAGGCGTTCTGTTGTCAAGCTCTTCTTCCGGTGAGTAGTGTGGTGGTGATTCGGTTGTACATGAATCGGTTATCTTCGTCATGCAGTTGATTATATTTCTTGCTCCTTGTGCAGGTTGTCCGGGTGAAGTCGTTGAAGCTTGAATAGTGGTCGTCGCACTTGCTTGTGTTGAAGCCATTTGGGAGCTTGAGGGTCGAAGTTGTCGCTGTGGTGCCGTTGATTGCTGACGATTCGGGCAGTGTGTGCGCGGGTGCCCTGAAGTCTTGCAGATGTGGCAGAAGGGAG